ATAATCATCAATAATCAAATATTTCATCACCATAAATAAGAATTGTTTAAATAATATGAAATAACAATGATGAATAAACATCTAAATGAAATGAATAAAACAAAAGAAGAAATGATGAATATAAAGAATAGAAATAAGAAAGTTGAATAAAATAGATATAAAATAATATAAAGAAGATATAGAAAGAATAAAAGAAGAAATAGAAAAGAAGAAAAAGAATAATAAAAGAAAAGATGATAAATAAGATAAAGAAATAATAATAAAAAGAGAATAAAAGAAAGAATAAGAGAAATAAAAAAGATAAACATAAGGATAGAATAAGAAGATATAACAGAAATAAAAATAATAAAAGAAATAAGAAAGATAAAAAAGAAGAATACAATAAATACATAAAAAAGATAAAAAGATAAAGAATAAATGAAGATAATAAAGAATAGAAAGAATAAAGAATAAAATAAGAAATAAAAAAGATAAGAATGAAATAATGATAAACAAGATAATAAGAAATAGAATAAAACATAAATATAAAAGTAAATAAATTTAAATTATATTTCTTTCATTTTATTATTATTTTATTATTCTATTTCTTTTATTCTTTTTAATTTTCATCATTTATTTTATTTTTTATTCTATTTCAATTTCAATCAATTATTATCATTATTTCTTTTATTTGATATTTTATTTAATATTTTCTATCTTTTCATTTAATTTATCTTCTCTATTTCTCTTTATTCTTATTTCTTATTTTATCTTTTATTATTCTAATGATTTGTTTCTATAAATGATATTATGATATTTATAATAATAAGTAATATATTTAAAGTAATAATGAAAGTGAAATTATTTAAATATAAATGAATAATGATTTAATAATGAAGTATTAAATAATAAACATTATATTATTATAATTCATTCTATGTTAATTTTCATATTGATATTATTTATCAATATATTCTTTATTCTTACATCATTCAATTATTTTATTATTGATAATTATATTATTCTCTTATTCACATATTATTGAATTATAATCATTTTAATTAACTCATATTTTCAATCAAAAATAAAAAGAAGTAATAAAAAGAAGAAAGAAGATAGATTAATAGATAGAAAGATAATATGATATTCACCATTTTATAAACAACAGAAATAATGAGAAATGAAAATATATGAAAAACAGAAAAAGAAGAAAAGAAAGAATTAAAGAAACAAAGATTATATTAATAAACAAAATGATAAATGATAGAGAAGTAATAGAAAAGAATGAAAACATTAAAATAATAAGAATAATATCAATAATATATAATAATGATGATATAGAATAATATAAAGAACATAAAATAAAAGTAATGAATAATTCAAGATAATCAATAGAAAATATAACACAAATAATGAATAATTAATAATTGAATTAACTAATAAAATATCACAATTTATTCAATATATAAAATAAGAAATATAGATATTATTTAACAATTCATTGTTATTATTTCTTATTCTCTTTCTTCATATATTTATTTTCTTTTTATAATCATTTATATTTCTTTATTATCATTTCTTTATTTATTCTCTCTTCTTATTCATTTTTATTGAATATTAATTTAAAATTAATTACAAAATCATTTTATAATTTATTATTTCTTTTCTATATTATTTTCATTCTTCTTATTTATCATTAAATATAATTCTTTTATATTCTTATGTTTTTCATTATCTATTATTAATATTTATTATCATTTTATTATCATTATTCATCATTATCATTTTATTCTATTGATTGATTCAATAATAATACATCAAATGAGAATAATAATATAAAAAGAAATAATAAGAAATTATAAAATTCGATAATAAGAAATAATAATAAAATAATTAAATGAAATATATTCATTTATAAAATACTTATTTATTTTTTAATCAACATATTATGATATAAAATATAATATAAATATTAATTCTATTCATTTATTTATATTTTAATAAATAAATCAATAATTTAATATAAGAATATATTATTATTAATATACATTTATGATATATATTAAAATCAAATTTCATTAAATTTAATAAAATATGTAATTAATATATGTTTATATATTTGATTAAATACATACTCATATTTTAATATTTGATTATTATTCTTTATTTTATTTATTTATTTTGATTTATATTTTATTATTTATTTTATTCATGTATTTGATATTTATATTTTAAATATATTCTTATTATTTAATTATTTCATTTCATATTAATATTATTCATATTCATATTTCATTTAATTTAACTTATAATTTATTTTTATTGATATTTATATTATATAAATACAAATAGATTAATAAAATTGATATTTATTTATCTATAATATCAAATTCATTTAATTTATATTTAATAATACAAAATCATAATTTAAAATATAGAATATAAGAATAATAAACAATAATAAAATAATAATAAAGATATAAAAGATAATAAATAAATATGATAAAATAGAAGATATAAGAAATAATAAACATATACAATAAATAATAATAAATATTTTAACACAATAAAAAAGAATAATATCAAAAAGAATAAATAAGAAAAGAATATAATATAAATGATAATCAATTATAATTTATTTCTACTTCAAATTATATTGTATTTCATTTATTATATTTTTATTTCATTCATCATCATTTGTTAAAACAATTTCTTGGTATTCTTTGATTTTTCATTAATTCCTCTTCACATCCACATTCACAAAAACATCCATCTCCAAATGATATAATTGATGAAGGTATATTAATTGATGTTAATGAATAGCATTCTTTAAAACAATCATATCCTAATTTACTAACAGATGATGGTATATTAATTGTTGTTAATGAATAACATTCATTAAAACATCTAATTCCTATTGACGTAATTGATGATGGTATATTAATTGATTTTAATGATAAACATTTATTAAAACAATCACCTCCTAATTTACTAATTGATGATGAAATATTAATTGATCTTAATGAATAACATTCACAAAAACAACAATATCCTATTTCATTAATTGATGATGGTATATTAATTGATTTTAATGATAAACATTTATTAAAACAATAACTTCCTAATTCACTAATTGATGATGGTATATTAATTGATATTAATGATGAACATTCACAAAAACATTCATCTCCTAATTTAATAATTGATGATGGTATATTAATAGATGTCAGTGTTGAACATTCATAAAAACAACATTTTCCTAACTTAGTGATTGAAGATGGAATAATAAATTCATTAATATCTTTCTTTTTAATATTCTTTCCATTGATTATTTGTAGATTTTCTGGTATTTTAATACTAACTAACACTGGTTCATTCATAAATATTCTTTCTTTACTTACAAATTGTAGATTGTCTACACTCACCGATGTCAATGATGAACATTCACCAAAACACCAATTTCCTATTTCACTCACAGATGCTGGTATATTAATTGATGTCAATGAATAACATTCTCTAAAACAACAATATCCTAAATTACTTATTGATGATGGTAAATTAATTGATATTAATGGTGAACATTTTCTAAAACAATGACCACCTAATTTAGTAATTAATGATGGAATATTAATTGTTGTTAATGATGAACATTCATTAAAACACCTATCTCCTAATTTAATAATTGATGATGGAATATTAATTGATATTAATGATGAACATTCATAAAAAGAATCATTTCCTATTTTAATAATTGATGATGGTATATTAATTGATGTTAATGATGTACATCCATTAAAACAATCATATCCTATTTTAGTGATTGAAGATGGAATAATAAATTCATTAATATCTTTCTTTTCAATATTCTTTCCATTGATTATTTGTAGATTATCTGGTATTTTAATACTAACTAACACTGGTTCATTCATAAATATTCTTTTTTCACTAATAAATTGTAGATTATCTATATTAATTGATGTTAATGATGAACATCTATAAAAACAATCATATCCTAATTCACTAACAGATGATGGTATATTAATTGATTGTAATGATTTACATTCATTAAAACAATCATATCCTAATTTACTAATTGATGATGGTATATTAATTGTTGTTAATGAATCACAGTATCTAAAACAATCATATCCAAGCGATTTAACTTCTGATGGTATTGTATTCCCATATGATTTTCTATCTTCTTTTGTATATTCTATATTTTTACAGATATTTCCTTGTTCTTTTTCGAATAAATATTTTGAATAACTAATATCATACCATATTACATATTTAAATATTCTTCCATCTTTAAATATTTTATCATTTTCATTATAAATATGAAATGTTTCAATATTAGTAAATAATTTTCTTGAATATTTATCTAAAGGAATTGGATTAAAATGAAATCGTTCCATGTTTCCTCTAAATCTTTTAATTCCTATTTCTAAATTAATAAAATCTTCAATATCATTAAAGTACATTGATACTATCATTATTTCATTATATCCTAATTTCATTATTGATTTATTATTTATTAGTTGTTTTTATTAGTTCTTTTATTTTTATATTTTAATTTCTTCTTTTTTATTCTTTATCATCATTCTATTTTTATCAATTGATGTTTATTATGAAAAACATTAAATAATAAGAAATAAAATAAAATGATAATTATTTTTATTTTTAATAAATTCATAATTATTAAATATTTCATTTTATTTTATATTTTATTCATCATTAGATGTCCTTTTATCAATGCAGAATATACATCATATTTTGTTGCCATGGCTATTGAGTAATACCATAGAGTCTTGTAAAGAAAATCAATCAACAAACAGGTATTCAAGTTCAAAGAAAAGAAAGGACTTCAATAGCAATAAAATGCATAATAATTATGATAAAAGAAATAACAAGAAAAAAGGGTTTAGAAAAAGAAGAATAGAAATAAAAACAAATAAGAAACAATGTAAATATAATGGTAATAAACATTATACAAATAAGAAACCTAAATTATTAACAATAAATGAAATTGAAATGAAAATTAAAAGAATAACAAGAAAATGGGAGAAAGGAGAATACGAAGAATTACTTAAAAAGTACGAAGGTAAAGAAAAGAAATGGTATAATATTCTCCAAGAAGTATATTCAATAAGGAAGAAGAAAACACTAGAGAAAATCAAAGAAGAAATCAAAGATAAAACAAAAGATTGGACAAGTGAAGATATTAAAACAATTGAAGAAGAAATCAAAAACAAAAATCCAATCAAAGAAATGAATGATAGATGTAAAATGCAAGAACAATAAATGAAAAAGAAAATAAAAGGAAAACACAAGATAAAGAAGAGAAAAAGGAAGAAGAAAGCAACAAATAAGAAATTAACACACTTCAAAATAAAATTAAAGAATTAGAAGAAACTATTAAAGAATTTCAAACAAAAAAGAAGAACGAACTATTTCAAATGAAATGATTCAAAAAACATGAGACACAATTAGAAAAGAGTTTGAAGAAAAAATAAAAAAGATTCAAACACAAATGAACAATATTCAGAATACATTTAATGAAATAAGAAAAGAAAACTCTAAATTAAAATAATAAAATAATTCATTACAATCAAAAATAAATGAAACAAATGGTAGAAGGATCATAGAAGTAGGAGGCAAGGATGAAACCATCCGAACACTCCGAGCTAGCTATGAGAAGCTGAAGAAAGAGAAGGACGAAGTCCTTAAAGGTGGTGAGCTGGAGAAGAGTGCTGAGCTGCTAGAGAAGAACATAAGAGATAAAGAAAATCAAATCTCTGTATATCAAAAAAGTGCGATTCAAAACTATGAGATTGCAGAAATAACAAGAAAAGAATTAGACCATACACAAAGAGAAAATGAAGAACAAAAACAATTAATATCAAACCAACAAGAAAGTATCGAAAATTTTTTATCCCAGAAGGAACTGGAGAAGAAGAAAACAATGACTCTAGTGATAAATACCAACAAATACTGAGAACATCATCATCTGGGACAATACAAATGAACAAAACTACCCCTATGAAAAAGACAATTCTGGAAATAGAAGAGAGCAAAACACTGAATATCAAAAAACAAGAAATAATAATCAATCAAGAAGAAAAGAAAACACAACAAATCAAACAAATAGAATTTTAATTGATGTGTTGTATTGTTTTGAATTAATTGGTTAAATAAGAAATTAAATAAGAAATTAAATAAGAAATTAAATAAGAAATTAAGATGGGAACAAATAGAAAGCATAATAAAAGTAATAAATATTAATGTAAATAATGAGAAAGAATACATTAATAATATTAAAAAGTCACATAGAATAAAATAAACAACTAAAAGATATATTAAAATGAAAATGAACTCCATCATAGAAGGGAAAGTAGAGTGTAATCCAATAATAAAAATTATTATCATAAAAAATAACTCTACTGATATTGATAATGAATACATTAACTCTATCATCACTCAAGTTAAAGAAATGAAAATAGATAAATGTGTAAATATTAATTATTACTGGAAAAGGAAAGAATCAGATAAATTAATAAGAGAAATTAATAATAAATGGGTATGGTCAGGAAGCAGAATAGAAAATCTACAAGAAGATATGAAAAGGATTTCAATGTGTATGCATTACTATCTCCAAAATAAATTTAAATGAGATAAATTTGATGAAGTAAAAGAAATCCTAAGGAAAATAAATAGACTAGAATATCTAATCAAGGGAAGGAAATGGTACAGAATAAAATGCATCATGAGATTAAATGAACAAGATGTAGATGAAATTAAAATTAAATCACATGAAAGAATAAAGTACCTAAAATATATGATGACGATGATTAAAGAAAGAATTAAATTTAATAAGAATGAAATTATCAGAATCAATACAAATAAAATCATGTTTGATTCTAATAACAAAATTAAAATAAAGAAGAAAAACAAAATGAAATATACCCAAATAACGATATTACTTTAGAATATTTGAAATCGTTATATGAAACACAGGTGATATTAAATAAAGAACATTGGAAAATAAAACAAATCACCTCGTGGAATGAAAGATACAGGAATTATGATAGTGTCATCATCTCAATGGATGATTTAAATCTAAGCCTGATGAAAATAAGTAATTGGAAAGCACCAGGCATTGACATTATATATGGGTATTATTGGAAGAGAATGTCATCATCAAGAGATTCCATTCTTAATATCTTCAATGAATGGTTAAACTTCCCAGAAAACATCCCTTTAGACATGGTAAGTGGAAGAACTATACTAATCCACAAATGAGGTGATATGAACGATGTCACTAACTATCGTCCTATCAGTTGTACAAATGTAATTATGAAAGTATTTACCTCCATATTAAAAGATAATATTCACAATAGAATTAACATGAATAGTGAATCATTAAAAATTAGTAAAAATCAATTGGGATGTAAACTGCAATCTCTTGCTGCTAAAGAAGGATTAATTAACAGTTATATGTTAAAGCAGCAAAAAGAAGAGAAATACACAAAATATGTAGAATCATATTATGACATTAAGAAAGCATATGAATCAGTAAATCATGAATGGGTAATAGAATCACTAAAATATTTTAATGTAGAGGGTATCATCATAGACATTGTAGAAAGTATGATGAACAGATTGAAGATATTCATAGGATATAAATATAATGAATATCTAGGATGTATTAAATTGATGAATTTTACAATGTGATTCATTATCATTTCTATCTTCATCATCCAAATGAATATAATTTCTCAAATCATAGAAGAGAAGTTCCCAAAATCAAACCATACATTGTATATGGATGATTTGAGAATAATGACACTAAGTAGTGAAGAAATGGGAACAATCCACAATGAAATTAAAGAAATAATAAGTGGAATAGGGATGGAAATGAAAATAAATCAGGAATGGTATTAAAGAACATTAATAAAATACCAGATGGAATGCAAAACATCACATTAATTGAAGGAGAGGACTTGTATAAATATTTAGGTGTATGGCAGTCCGATGAAATTAATGATACCTTCAATTGTAAAATCATCAAATAAAAGATGATGAAGAAAATGGAAGAGATAAATACTGATGAAAGTAGTAATAGAAGTTATATTACAAGAATTAATACTGAAGTAATACCCATCTTCAGATATTCAGCATCAGTAGTAAATTGGAAGGTAACATAGATAGAATGGATTTAGAGATAGAAAATATTTAAGAAAGGCAAAATACATTGTTGTAACTCCAAAGACCGTCTATATGTCCCTATAAATGAAATTGGTGAAGGATTAATAAGCCTAATTGACGAATATGTTATTGAATTAATCAGAACAGTAATGTACTAATGTACAAGAGTGAAATAAGAAATAACATAATAGATAGATGGTATTCCAAGAAATGAATATGGAATAGAATTAAAAAAGTACTAAGTCATAAAATCACAGAAACGAAAATAGAAGAAATAATAAATGAAGTGAAAATAAAAAAGAAGTAGTATTAAAAATAAAGAAAATAATGACCAACAAATACATCAAAAAATGGAAATCAAACAAGTGGACATTTTAGAAGATGGTTCGAGTCAAAATTTGTAGATAAAATTACTACAATAAATGTATGGAAGTCAATCAATATAAAGAAAAATGCATTTCTCAAATTAATTAAAATATAAGATGGAGTAATATTCAGTGTGTATAGGAAAGATAATATATTAAAAAATGAAAGATTAAAATATTCAATACTTTATAATTACAATATATCAATAATAGAACTTATTCTATTATCTTGTATTTGTCATAAAAAATCACAAATTGAAAAATATGATAATATTGGAATTATCATATTAAATAATAATAAAATATATATGAAATAATCAATATATGAAATTAATATATGAAAAAATGTTCAAATACAATGATATTATTATGATATTGAATAAATAATATTAAAAAGTGAATGATAAATCATAAAATATCATATATATATGTAATAAATAAAAAGAATAAAAATAATCGATTATTTGATATGAATATTATTATATATCACAATATTAATAGAATATAATTGAATAAAAGAAATAAATATAAAGAAACGAATAATATGATGATTAAAATAAATAAAATAAAAGATATCAAAATAAATTAATAATTTCAATCAATTAATTAATAAAAATTGAAAATATTAAATTAATTAAATAATTAAAAATCGAAATTAACATCACTAAAGAAATTAAAAACCATGTAATAAAAAACATGATGGACGTCATAGAACAATATTTCTACCACAACCAAACATATGTTGTTGAACTACATGACGAATACTCAGTGATGGGATTAGTCTCCGGTGAGGCAGGAACAATAGACACAGATTCTATTAATACTTAATTAACTATTTTTCTCTCTTGTTTGTTTGTTTTTTATTTAAATATTTTGTTATTTGATTATTAAATTCTTTCTTCTTCTTCATTTCTTTCAATATTATATTGTATTATTATTGTATTATTTTGATGTGTTTGTTATTATTTTGTGATTTTCATTAGACTTATATTGTTTAAATATTGAATAATTAATAAATTGTAGATAAATGAATTAAAGATATCATGAATGTGAAAATGAAATATTTGTCATTTCATTTATTTCATTGTTATAAATGATGAATAGTCATTAATTTCGATATTATAATGATTTAATTGAATATTTATGAATTTTACATATTGTTCATTATATTTATATTCATTAGATATTACATTTGATAATGGTGTTAAATTATATCATTTTATATTTTCATTAATTGATATCATATTAAATATTATTCTTATTCATCTATCTTTTATTAAAATAAAATATAGAATATAGTTAAGAGAATATTCAGATTGTTTTTAATAAATGGATACAATTGTTAGTGATGGTTGATCTGAATATTTATTATTTCTTGTTTCTTTTTTGTTTCTTTTTGAATCGAATATTTGGTTCTTAGTTTATCAAAAATGAACTTTAATTCTAATTGAAATGAATTCACAGTATCTAAATCAAGTCTATCAATTAGAGCACTATTATGTTTGTTTATGAATGATGTACTATGTGAGTTAATGTCATAAAGTAGGATATAAAGAAGGAGTATTTAATAAAGAAGAACCAACTGAAATACTTAAGAAAAAAGAAAGATATTTATAAACGAAAAGTCCACAGTGGAATACTTCTTTTTAAATTAAATCTAATTGAGAAATACGAAGAAGAGGAGTTAAAAAAGATAAGGAAAGAGTACCAAAGAGAGTGGAGAATTAAACACACTCATTTTATGTTTCTTTCATTGTTATTATAAATTCATTTCATAATTAATTATTTGTTATTAAAAACAAAATTATAAAAATAAAAAAACAATTTTTTAAGAGAAATCAAATAACATTAACTCTCCAGAAGAACATCCACAAAATAAATATCTATCATCATAAGTAAATGAAGAAACAATAGAATGTGTATTTATGGTATTAATTAGATTAAAATTTTGAGAATCAATTAAAGATAAAGTCATATCTTTAGAAGAAGAAATAATTTTATCATTTTCATGTTTAATAAAAATTACTTCACCTGTATGATTTTGTAATATTTTTAAAGGAATTTCAGGTTTTCTATAATCCCATACCATTATATTTTTATCATTAGAACAAGTTATTATTTTATCTTCAATAAAATCAAAATGATTTACACCTGCATGATGACCTTTTAATCTAATTGCTGTTTGTTCTAGATTTCTTATATCCCAAAATTCTACAGTTTTATCAAATGAAGATGATACTCCAAGTTGAGAATTAAATAATTTAGAATATGTAATTGGTCTTTTTATGTTGACGATATTCACCTATTATTTCTAATTTATTTGGGTCTAATAATGTTACAGTTCTTTCATATCCAAGAACTAATTGTTCATTAAAAGTAAATCCATTAACTTGAAATCCAGTAACAACTTCATTTGCAATTCCTGAGACAATGTTTATATCTTTAATAACTCCATTTTTATATCCAATTCTAATATTATCATTATTTAATGTTAATCCTACAATTCCACAATTTTGTCCACTGAATACTTTTTCATTAATTAATGTTTTCTCATTAATTTTCCATACTTTTACTTTTTTATCACTTGATCCTGTTACTAATATTCCTTTCTTTTCTT